ATACAATGCATGGTGACCCAGTTTACTGGGAGAGCTTTTTTTTCCCTAGTTACAGGTCATATACAGTTCCTAATTAAGTAGGTTAATTATATGGCTTCTTTATATTTCACAGTCAAATGTGGGTGCACAATTATCTCTTGCAGCGATCGTTTCTGATCAAAAATGATGTCCGGAACAGGAGTGCCTGTGGGCAGAGGCAGCAGGAACTGCTCTGCAGCCTGGGCACTCGCTCCCGCTCTGTCTGCTTAAGCACTTGGGTGTTTTTGCTGCGTGTGACTCGGTGCACGGTGCAGTTGTCCTGTCAGAAACGGCATGAAGAGGGTATGGCCTCGTCCTGGGCATCGTGTTGTCCTGCTCACGTGGCCAGCCACGGGCTGCACTGCGCCGGGGACGAGCGCTTTCCGTTCAGCCCCAGAAAGCCAAAGCTGACAACGCGTCTTGACATCCATTTCCTATGGACAAGCAGGCATCCTGGTGACGCCGTGGTGACCTACCCAGCGTCTGTCTGCAGTGTCCACCGTTTTGGCGTTGCCCAGGCAGGCTGGGAGTGGAAGGCAAGTGCCTGGAATTTCTTCAGAAGCATTGAAAAGGGAAAAACTACTCTTTGTTGAGGGCTATTTGTTTGCAGATGAAAAATACTACTGCTTGGGGACTCTTATAACCAAAATGTCCTTGAAATAAGTTTCTTTAACCTCTCCCCATCCTGCTCTAGCAGCACTGGGGCCTCTGGAGCATCCCTAGGTTATCTGTTCCAGTGCTTAACCATCCGTGCTGCTAGGTATTAGGGAAAACACTCAAACCTTAATCTCCCTCAGTGCAATTTAAACCTATTATTTCTTGTTTTATCCCCAGTGGACATGGTGAACAGCTATTATATTTCTCTTCAGAGTAACCTTTTACATAGTTGAAGACTGCTATCACGTGTCCCTTCAGTCTTTTCTTCAATACAAAGCACAATTTTTACATTTTTTCTCCACCTTCGGTCATTTTTGCTGTTTTGGCAAGGTTACTGTCAGATAGAAAGCTGGAGTTTCTGTTGTTCTTCACTTGTGTGCCTTGGAGCATTTATTATGTTATGGATGTGTATGAAGTGACCATTATCTTATCTTCCCAAATCTGTGGTTATTTATAAAGTACCCTAATATTCCTGAGCCGGTGTTTTACCAGAAAGTACAGCTCTTAGCCTTGGTAAATAATTTACCACTATGATATGATCATGCAAACAGGGACTCCCCAAGCTATTTATTACTATTTGCTTTATTTTTCTTAAGTAACAAATGTCCATATAACACTGTGGATGCAGCAGTGCTTTATGGACATGGACTAAAATGTATATGCTCTTTGGGGGAACTTCAGCATAAAGGAGGAGAGGAAAAAACGTACCAAGCCAAACGTGAGCTTAGCCACAGGGAAGAGCGATGAATAGGGAATGACTGGAGAATTTCTAAAAAGCAGAGCTTTCAGGGCAGCCTGGAAGACTGCTCAGCAGCTGTACCAAGGGGATAACATGTGGAAGAAGGACGAGAGCATCACTGGGATACATATGGAAGGAGGATAGCCTGGATGGGAGGCCGCAAGGGAAGAGGTGAGGCTGGGAGCAGTGGATGCAGGTGGGAGGTGTGGGAGAGGAGAGCGGTGTTTGGAGCTGTTCCCTGCAGCAGCTCTCAGAAGCAGCGTTCTCAGGCCGCCTCGCTGCTCTCTGGGCGCCGAAGCGGCGGTCACTGCAGCTGACCCTCCGGCCAGGCCCACGCGAGGCCGCGTCGCTGCCGTCCCCTCTGCGCAGCACCCGGCACAGCGGGGCCTCCCAGGCCTCCTGCCTGGAGCCACGGGACGGCCCCGGGGGCTCCCACCTCCTCCCACCTTCAGGCTGCTCCTCCTCACCCCAAACTCCTCCATTCGCTGCTCCGGCTCCTGCTGCCCCGTGTCCATGAGCCGAGGCACAGCCCGGGCTGTTCTGATTCTCAGAACGTACACGGACTCTTTGAAATATTAACAAATAAGCTCTCTTTATAGTTAATGCTCAGTGTGTTTGTCCATAGTGGAGGTTGATTTATCCTCAGAAACATCTGCTGCATCACTGTTTAGATTTTAAATTTCAGAGGGACTTCAAAATAATTTATTTTCTTTATAAAGTTTATAGAGTGGTATATCAGGAGTTAGCCCAGACCGCCCCAGATTATTATCGTGCATTTTTGTGGTACAAAACTGGAATAATTCCTATGTCCCTCTGCCCATTCATTTGTCAAGTAGAAGATAAACCTAAATCATAAAATCTGCACTCTTTTATTTTTTATTTTTTTAATTCATTTATTTTCCCTTTAACCTTACCTGGAAAACCTACTGCTGAAGCCAGCTAGAATTCTTCCAAATAAAGCCATTCATCAGCATTATATGTCGTAACGTCAACCTCTTTACCTACTTAGCAGCAAAAAATATATGATATTGCCAAGAAAGATTAAAAGGGTTGAAGTGTGGGTAGCTGCTTTATTTCCAGGAGCTGCTGATGACAGTACCTATTTTGAGAGTCAGAGCAATAGTCAAAGCTATAAAAGTGATCAGTGACTGTTTGATATCAAAGGTGTTTTGCGAGTTTGTCTCAGGATTGTGCAGCAAGTGCAGGGGTAGCCTCGGTGCAGCAGGGTGGCTGGAGCCTCTGCGGGGCTGGACCTCCGTTCTGACCACCCAGAAGAGCTCACGGAGGTCGTTGGTTTACTTTGTGCAAGGCACTGGAATGTACTCAAAGGCATGAAACTCTTCCCAGATTGCTGCAATGACAGAACCTACTGGTTTACTATGGTGTCTTGGCAGTTCTTGGATTTTCCCGTTTTTTGCGGAAATGAGAAGAGGTCGAGACAGTTGTGGAGCATCACATTTGGTCCTGAGACTCTTGAGGGATGGTTAAGTTTATAAATGTCCAGGCTTAGCAGCCTGGCACGTCTCCCCCGGGCGACCACAAAAGCAAAGCTCTCCCCTGGCGCTGCCCTTGCAGGCGCTGTCCTCTCTGCCCCTCGTCCAACGTGGAATTCCTGCCCTCAGAGCAGAGGGCGGCGCTGATGGCCTTGGTCCCGTTGGCCACCCCCTGCTCCTCCTTTGCAGCAGTATCTGGCTGCGCAGGGAAAGCAATAAGCTCTCAAGAGCCTCTCCTACGGCTCCCCGGCAGGGGAGGTCGTTACGGTCTCTCCTGGTGTGAATTATCCCAGTCTCTGTCCAGCTGATATTTTTATGACATGTTTGGTGACCTGCACCGCGGAGGGGAGAGGTCACCCCTTCCCACGCAGCCAGGCTGTGCGTCAGAGCAGGATGGGGCAGGGACGCAGGCCCCCTGCAATCCCCGAGCTGTCTGTTTTACATGCAGAGAGTTGACAAGGAAGAACAGAAGTCATTCAAACCAAAACTGCGTGTTTACTTCTTGTGTTTGGAGAAATGCAGCGTACGTAGTCCCAACAGAGGCATCTTGCAGCAAGAGCTGAATTTTGCCTTTGCGTCTCAAAAGCTGCAAGTCAGGTGGGCCCTGGGAGTAACTTTAAAAAAGAAGCCCAGAACCTGCCAGAAAGAATTCATAATAAAGGCAGAAACTTTTTCTTTTCTTTCTTTTTTTTTTTTTCCCAATTCCTGTGACTAAAACACCTGCTATGGCTGCCAGGACTCTGCTAATTACACAATAACTTTATTATATCCCACTTGGAAGAACAAACAATGCTTGAAGTCTCAAAAATGAATAGCCTTTAGACAAGATTAATGCAGGCAGAATGACTGCGTGGAGCCTCCATGTCCTCTCGAAGGCTCCGGACAATGAAATGACTTGAAGACTCCCCTCTTTGTTGCTAGCGCTACATAATAAAGTAATTGTGCAATTAGAAAGAGATTACTGATGGGAGAGGCATTTTCTTTGCAGCCCAGGTAAAGGACAGACTGCTCTGAATAAGCTTGAATCTCAGTGCACATCTCTGCTCATCTTTACTTGGGTCTGCTGGTAGCTCCAGGCAGCTTCCAGAAGGGAGAAAGGGACCGGCTCTGATTTCTTCCCGTCTGAACTCACTGTGTTTGATCCAGAGGTTCTCCAGGAATGTTGCAGTGTGATCCTGCCCTGCGTGCATGGGTTAAGAGGTTTCACCTGGTGATGGAGGAGTTAGTACGGAACTGCTGGGACCTCTGGGATATGTGAGAATAGATGGAAACGGGGAATTGTCTTCATCTCTGATGTCCCTTGAGGTTTTCAGCCTTGGCAGCTGATAGCAAAGGCTTAAGTTAGAAGTTCTAAAAATAAAGCAAAGCATAATGCTAAAATTGGGCTATAGCTGAATATCATAAAATATCTCTGTTAATTGGGAGGCAAAGCTGTCTTCTCAGGTGCTCTTGCTCTTTTCTTCTCAGCTTTGTTTTGTCTGCAGGAACGAGTTGCTCACGTTCAGGCAGGGTCAGAGCGGCGTCGCTCTCAGTGCGGTCACTCAGAGCGGGCTGTGTTTTGGGGCCCTGCTCTGCAGGAGGAGGCCAGGCTGTGTATGTGGTCCCAGAGGGGCCACGTTTGGCCGAGCTGGTGGGGATGTGGATGATGCTCTTGGTGGGAACAGGATGCTCTTTTCGGGGAGGTGGCTGCAGGGAGTCAGCGGCCACTTCGTTTCAGAGCAGCAGTTGTTGGTTCCTCCTACAGGAGGACGGTGTGGAAGGAGATCTGTGACCTCTCCAGCACAGCAGAGCGGTGGGAGATCCCCCCTCCTTCCATCTCAGGGGCTGACAAGTTTGTCTCGAGGCTTCCTTGCCTGCCTGTTGGTCTCTGAGCTTTCTGGGGCCGGGAGGAGAGGATGGAGATGCTGCCGTTCGCAGTGGTGGTGGGAGGTAGCGTGAGCTGACTGGGATCAGTTCCAGCATTTCTCATCTCTTGCAGAGAATGGTGATAATCTGGCTGGTTCTTGCAGCAGTCAGTCCCACGCGGGCAGCAGGGCCGAGGGGCCTCCTCTCGGCCCGGCCACGTGTGATGGATGTTTCTGTGATGCTTGCAGGTCCTGTGGCAGTGATCAGCGGCGAGGAGGATTCTGCCAGTCCCCTGCACCACATCAACCACGGCATCACGACGCCCTCATCCCTGGACGCTGGCCCGGACACGGTGGTGATTGGCATGACCCGTATTCCTGTCATCGAGAACCCCCAGTACTTCCGACAAGGTCACAACTGCCACAAGCCAGACACGTGTAAGTGCCCGGTCCAGCCGGATGCCCCTGCGAGGGCCAGGAGGAGGGGCAGGGACATGGGGGAGAGGCGGGCAGGAAGATAAGGTTGAGGAGAATGGGTCTTGGTATGGTCCAGAAACCAAAGTGAATCTCAGGTTTCAGAAATCACAACATACATGCAGGTGCTTCTGAAGGAGCCTTTCCACCCTCACGTTCACCTCCTTTCACCCTCCCTGTACCACCCACCAGTCACCTTCCCCCCTTCCTGAAAACGCCATTCAAGACAGGGCTCTGCTCTGAGCACCAGTGAGAGGCACGAGCAGGAGCCTGTGTGGAAGCGCGGGGTGTTTGTGTGACCTGCTGCTTGTGGGGGAAAGGACTTGCCTCCCCTTCCTCCTCCAGCAGTTTCCCAACCGTGTAGCAGCAGGACTTTCTACTTGGCTTCCTCGTGGTGCAAAGACAAGCTCAGGACACGTGTTCATGGATGGGCCAGGTGCATGGAGATAAAGAACAGAAGGTTTAGTTGCTGGATGTCTTATATTCATGGGCCTCTATAAAGCTTGCAGTTTCCCTGCATAAATCTGGGTTGTGAAGTCAGGTATTAGAATAGCAGGTGATGATAACCTGGCCCTTTCCCTTTAGCTCTCCTAAATTCTGAGCATAAAAGAAAACCTCTGGGTGAAAGGATGCATCCTTGCAAGTCGCTCAGTGCTTTTCATGACTGCCCTGCAGCCTGACCCTCCCCAGGGTGGGCTCCCACAGTCAGTAGCCGAGTTCTCCCTCGCCTCCTGCCAAACCTCAGGAGCAAACAGAGCAATGCAGGAGGAACAGGTAACGTTCCTCCTGTTCATCTTTCTGGTGTTTCTTGGTCCAGGCAGAGCCGGATCCCATAAAAGGGCTGTGAAGCAAGCCGTGGTGCTGGCCCTGTGGGGTAGCGCGCCGAGGGCGCCTCTGGCTCTGCGCTGCGCTCGTGCTGACTCATGAGGCGAAGGAAACGTAACCCGGTATCTGCACCAGAAGTGCTGGTAGGAGGCCAGGCTCTAACCTGCAGGAATCCGCTCAGCACTAAGCGTCAGGCAGCAAGTGGCTCCACGGGACGGCCTCCGCGGCGCTGCGGGCGCAGCCAGGAGCCCGGCCGTGCCCCGGGCGCTCAGCACGGTGCCTCCGTCAGCCACAGCCACGGGGGCATCCAGTTAACGCGCCTGGCATTCCCAGGGATTTTTATTTTAATGTCGTTATTTTAGTCTGTTTGCAGAGAGGGGGAGGAGGAGTGGATTAGGCAGGAGAGGATGAAGCTGAAAGTAGCGTGGGTTTGGATTTTGCTGTTATTTATGTTTCACATTTCTTGTAGCGCCTCATCCCAAAGTGATTTACAAACTCTGATGGTTTTTTTTTTCCCTTCTCCTTTTTTTTCCCACCTTCCAAACTCCCTCAAATCTCTTTAATCCTTGTGCCGACCATCTTGATACATTACTGCTATTGCAGCTACGCAGTAGTAGTGGTTCACACTCAGAGGATTAAGCTCTGCTCTGGGCACTTGCCCTGTGGGGCTCATCAGATTTAGTAGGGTTGCAGGGAAAGTAACTCGCAGCAGGATTTGGCCTCAAAGTTTCAGGGGGCTATTTGATTAGGATTTGAAAAGTTCAATGCACAGCAGAAGCAATTGGCAGTGGTATCTGGAGCCGTTTCTCCTGTAGAACATACCACAGGGGGGAAATATAATGCTACCAGCAAGTATGGACGCTTTGAAAGGCATGGAAAACTGCTTACTTCTGTGCTAACCTTCCCAGGCCCTATCTTGGAGCTCCAGGTTTCCCAGGGCTGTGAAGCAGGTTTGTTGAAACAAAATCCAGTGCAAAAACGCTACATTTGGGTGCTAAAACGGGGAAAAATCCAACTGGATATTGTCAGGTCAAAAACCCTTTCAATTTTTGGAATTATTTACTGTTCACGTGGCGCGAAATAGGCTCTGAGACCTCGGGCAGCGTTGGATTTGGTATGTTTATGTATTCTAGTTCCAAGCCTTGTAAGACTTGATTTGGATACAACTTCTTTGACTGATCTGCTGGCTTTCCTTAAGGCTGGAAAGTTTCATAATTCACCTTTTAAAATAGCCGTGCGTTGGGAGCCTTCACCATTAAAGGCTTTGTTTGATCTGATGTGCTGTGCTCGACTTGACCTTGGCCTGGGAATCGCAGCGGAGGGTACGTGCTGCTGCCGCACGCTCCCTCCCGGAGGGGCTGCCTGCCCTCGTGCTGAGCTGGAGCCCGAACTTCTCCGTTCGTTGCCACGCAGAGAGGGAGCTGCGTTAGGCTGAGCACTGTGAAACGCGGCTGAGCCGGTGCCACTGCGAGCAGACACGTCGCTTCCCGCAGCCCTCGCCCGAGTAAGGCACTCAGGAGCACCCCTTGAGATGTTGCCAGAACATCTTCAGCAGGTGGTTTCCCTCCTTCCAGCTCAAGGCTTTTCCCCTTCCTTCCTTCCTTCCTTCCTCTGCCTCACCCTACTCCTGGCCGTTGTCTGCGCAGAGGACGTGCCGATACCCGTTACCGAGCTGCAATGAGGAGAGCGAACTCTATATGCTTAATGCAGTATTAATAGTACATTGATGTGATATAGATTTCTGTCACTCTCTATACTAGCAAACATCGCTTATCACGCAGGGATGACGGATGCTTATTCCCAGCCACTTAGCTCTGCATAATGGAGCTGCAGCTGAAACGCAGAGGACGCTCCCCGCGCGCCGAGCTGCCGCCCCGCTCGCTCCCGCCGCCCCGCGCTGGCCGTTGGGCTCCCCCGAGCCGGCCCAGGAGTTAATGCGTCTGCAGGGAGGCAGAGGTGCGTTTCTCATGGGGGATGCGCTTTCCTCCCCTCAACTGGATGAAGGGTGCAGCAGCCTGCTCACACGTCAGGCTTTCTGGGTTCCATGCAGCTCAAGTGTGTTTCTTACCCATGCTCTGCAACAGCCGGAGTTAGAGGAGGAGGAGGAACGTAGAGACCTTCTTCCATTCCTACCCGAGGGCTTCCTGAAGAGGCATGGAATACAGCCCACCACCCTGTTTTGTCTCAACTCTTTGGGGAGACGCTCTCCTGTCTTTGGGGAGTCTCATGCAACATCTCCAGGGCACTCTGGGCAGCGACAGAGTTGACAACAAATCCTCGTTTCAGCCACCTTCAGCCCCACCTGGAAGGTTAGGCAAAGAGCTGAGCTGACAACAGCACCGTCTAAAGGCTCAGTTTCAAAAGAATGAACTGAAATGCATTTTTCCCCCCCAGCTTTCTGGTATGCACCAAGTGGCATATCTACTTGGCAGATGTCAACAGGCGAAACAACAAGTTGTGGTGAGTTCCATCTCCTGTATTTGGAAATAAACAGTCAAGAGGAGAGAAACAGGACTACCTGGTTGTGGAGCTAGCGCACTGTGGGCAAAATATCTGATGAGGAGGTAGAGTGAGGGGAGCAGATGGCTCCATCCTATGGTCAGGGTGGACCTAATGCAGAACCTGAGCCATTCAACCCTCATCTGTGTCCAGTAACTGACCGTCACCGTGAGCAGGCCGGAGATGGCAGATTGCTAAAGGAAAAAAACAAACAAAAAAAAGTCAATGAAAAAACAGGGAGCATCATACTGAAATAATTTCATGAGGTGACTTTTAAGCTGTTGGATCAACAATATTTTGCAGATGAGCTTCTTGATAGTAGCAGCAACTTTTTATCTTAGCTCCGTCTCCCTATGTTTAGGATTTGACATTACAAAATGGGTAAATATGAATACCTGGAGATTTTGATGGTGGCTGTCTTTGATAATGTTTCAGCTGAAACATTTTGGAGCCTTGTCTTACTTTTAATTGTGCTAATTAATAATCCGCATAACGCATCAGTTGCAGATTAGAAGTTCTTAGATCTGATCTCTCAAGCTTACACAAATGCCACAACACAATCCTGAAGTTCCTCTGCTCACTGGCATTTCTGTTTTGACAAAATAAGTCTTTTCGAGAAAGTTAGGAAAACAAAACAAAACTCAATGGCAAAAAGGAAGCTGGTGTGTGGACCCGCTGCAGCTCCTCATCTGTCTCCTGGGGGTGGATGCTAAATTCCCATTAAAACTTCAGGGAGACTTTCTGGGCAAGTGGTTTCATTTTGGTGGAGGTTATTGCTGGCTGCGGTGAGGACGCAGATGGTTCTGGCTTTATTTTCTTGCAGGACTGGTGCAGCCTCGGGACCGTGATGCATTCTGCACACGGGTGGAGCAGCCGTCCTTCCGTAGAGCCCTAATGAGGGCTTTTTTTCAACCTCATTTATTACAGGCTGCCCTGACATAATTACATATTCGAAGTTAGTAATTACACGTATTCATGCTAATTAAGTAATTAGATATAATTACACTAACTGTAAATACATGGTAATCGGCTAAAAAGAAGTACTTCAGAAAAAAAAACAAGGCAAATCACACAATAAAAGCGCCATCAGGGCTCTTTCACTCAGTGCTGTGTCTTTATCTTGCATTTTCAATGCAGTTTAAAAAGGAACATTGCGGTCATTTCAAAAATCATATTTTTTAAACAGATGGATTTCCTTACCTCTGCTTCTAGTAGAACCTGAAAACGAGTAAGATGTTTTATAACCCCAGTTTGTCTTGCCCCCATTAATTCTTTTTGTTCACTTAATATGTTGTATTCATCCTGGGTATGGGAAGCTAAAAAGTCTGTATCATTTCTACTTTTGGCCAGTTCACATCCTCATTTTCACCAAAACACCAAATTTGAGCCATAAATATTTGTAATTTCATTTTGTTAAAAAGCAAAACCCAAACTGTTGGTATTAAGGAAACGAAACCCTTATTTATTATTGTTCCTAGAGATGAGAGGGTTTGTCAAGTTTTATTTTCATGAAATGTAAGGGTGGAAGCAAGTTCGAACTGACAGCAGGTCTCAGTCCTTCCTGCAGGTCCCTCCTAGTTCTCCAGCTTCTCCAAACTTCATTTTTTCTCCTCCCTCTAACAAAAGCTGCTTCTTCGGTA